TGCATTTGAATAGTTGGAGATTATAGCTATCAGGGAAGGGAGTCCCACAGACAGGAAGTGTGAGATGGCTACATTTCAAATCAAATGCAGTGTACAAGTACTGCTGATCCCAATTTTTGTCAAATAATGCATACAAGAGCAGGACTAAGTTTGAATTTCAAGTGAAGATGCTTTCCTTTTGCATTATTAAGAATAATAATAAGAAGAAATAGTATACCCAAGTACTGAGTGAAAGTAACACTGCTATGGCAATCTTTCAAGTGTGAGAGAGATCCTTCCCTGCCCCCCATTAGAATGTCTGATAGTCAACTTCTTGAGAGCAACTCCCTGCGTCTGCTCGGTCTCACGTTGACTGCTGACCTGAGATGGGACAAATACATTGAGTCAATTACTTTGTCCACCGCAAGGAAATTTTTCTCCCCGGAATTGATACTTCAACTATACAATTCAACCATTCGCCCTTGCATGGAGTATTGCTGCCATATATGGTCTGGGGCACCTTCTGTTTACCTCGGAGTTCTTGACAAGATCCAGAGACTGATATGTAATATAATTGGCCCTGATCTGGCATCTCGTCTACAGTCACTCTCTCACAGATGTGCCAACACCTCTGTCTTTTCTACAAATACTTTCATGGTAATTGCTCCGATGAGCTGCTTTCACTGGTTCCCAGACTCCATGAATTCAAGCACCCTACGAGGCTGACATCCCACTCACACCCTTACACCGTAGAAACTTAAATGTAGCCATCTCTTCTACTTCATACCTCGCACCTCTCGCCTGTGGAACACCCTTCCCAATTACTGTTTCCCTGAGAGCTATAATTTCCAACTATTCAAATGTAATGTAAATCGACATCTCCAGTTACCTTGATCTATCCACTATCCCTCTCCTCATCCTTTCTTCGATCACTCCTATCTGCTCTTGCTCCAAATCTTCTGCAACCCCCTGCACCCTAGTGGCTTCACACCTTGCTCAGGGCGTAATGCTTAAGAAAAAAAAAAAAAGTCAGTGACAACCACCAGAGACAATAGAGAAATATGTATGTTTCTCAAATTGTATTTGCAATTACACCATATGTGTTAGATGCTAATGGACTAAGTGGAGATAGCCAAATTAAACATTGATCCCTAAACATGTATACCTATACTTGGATATTCGAGAACATTTTCTATTTCAGAACAAATCAGCTGTGAAGTGTTGCAGATACCTGATATGAAGTTGTTTATATTCACAGCCTTATTCTATTTACATGTTAGGCTGTCATTTTTTTTTTTTTTAGGGTGCTAGTAAACCAGTACTACAAGTCCAATAGGTTAAAAATACATTAACAACATTCAAGTTTCTTTTAATTACCAAACTTTAAATGATAAAAGATTTAAAAATAAGGAAGAAGTCAAAACAAGTTTTGAGATGTTTTAATATCAAGTAAAATAAAAAAATAATAATAAAAAATGGGTGTGGAGAGAAACCTCCATGGGAGGCAGTAGTTGGTGTTTATCAATGATTTTATACACAAAAGGAAATTCAGAGAGAGAAAGAGGAGGAGAGAGAGAGAGAAAAAAAAAAAAAGTGAAGTACCAGAAGTGATGGAGGTGTAAACACTGGCAGGGACACTAGTTGCATATGAAAATTAACGCCCAAGGGCTGAGTTTTTGCAATGTTCAATCACAACATACAAAATTTGCACAGAACTATGTACACAGAAACAGTACATGACACTAAAACAGTTGATTGTTTCAATGTGTATACAACCACAAAACAAGCAAACCTGAAATAAAGGTCTAACAAAACTGATCAGGCTTTTCTTTGAATGCATATTCAAAGTAAGTGGGATTTTACAATTAGTTTCATCATGTTTAATTTAGGCTTAATATGTACAGTGAAACAATCACCTGGAAAAATAGTACTCAGATGAAAATTACCTTTTAAATTAAAAGAACAGATACCATTTAAATCTTAAATATTTTTTTTGTTTATACACATAAATAGACTCACTTGTAAATTGTAAAATAGAGAAAAAAAAAAAAATAAAATAAAAATAATTTTCCTTTCAAAAGGAACTTTTTTTCTTTTCTTAAAATCCTGTTTGAGAAAAAAAAAAAAAAATTTCTCTTAAATCCAAAGAGTCCAAGAGTATTCACTATTTATTGCTGACATGTTTTCATCCACAGACAAATTTATTTTTCAAATTATCAGTGTAGAATTGAGGATAATTTTGATTACCAAATTTAGGGGAATAGAAGAAAATAAAATTCCTTGTTTATTTGAGTTGAGCAATTCTTACAAATGAAGCAATATTTACAAAATTCCTGGTGAAAATGTCATCACCTATTTTGCCAGAGTGACCTAAGATGGAGGGGGAGAGTAAACATTTACTTTAAAAGTAGTCAAGAATTGCATAGAAAAGAGGGAATATAGTCACAACTGAAAGAGCCATCAATGCTTCTTCTCTAACTATTACCCATCAGCTAAACTTTGGGAGAGGGGAAAAATGAAATAAAAATGTACATCTCAATCTGTCATAAATATTACTTATGGCGTAAGAGTGTCAATATCAACACTGAAGCTTAAATCAAAACTATCTTGCAACATTTACAGATAAAGTGAAAGGAAAAAAAAAAAAAATTATGTGCATTACTGACTATTGCTAATTGCTTTACAAAGTTAGTAATATTGCATCATCAATGATGTAGAGGGTGAAAAACTAACAATCAGGTGACATTAACATCCAAGTACAATTATTTTCTAACAACTCCTTGAAATAATATACAGAGAGGGAGCTGTTCTCAGAAAATAATTATACTTACAAACAACAGTTTATGAAAAATTGTCTTTGATATCAATACAAAAAGAACTTCATGCCCATCAAAGTTCATTGTGTGTGAGATTTATATACAGAGTGTCCATAAAGTTCGTGTGCACTTTAAAAAAATTTATAACTATTTGTATTTGTGATAGAAATAATCTGTAAAAAAAAATGTTATAAAGTTTAATGTACCTAGTTTTAAGTATAGCTAAAATAAATAATGTGCATTACTGTAAATCAGTTGGCAAATGTTTTCCATGAACTGCACAAGTGTATTACTCTTTGTATTGCTAATGATGGAGGACATGTGGAAACTTAAATAAAATTTCAATAAAACCTTAAAAAAATATAGATTTACTTCTTTCTAATCCTTTTTACAAATTATTTCTATCGCAAATACAAATAAAGTTATAAATTTTTTAAAGTGCACACGAACTTTATGGACACCCTGTGTGTGTGTGTGTGTATATATATATATATATATATATATATATATATATATATATATGACTTAACTATTATGAGGAATGTGATGTATTATTTACATTTATGATGTTTGAGCATTATATCAAAGAGTTTCCCTACTGAAAAGGAAGCAGTCAACCAGAAAGTAAGAAAATGAAAGGACTGCATTCTCTCCCAATTTTAATCACATTTGCTTTAGAACTGATGAAATAAAAAATCAATACAATCTCTCAGATATAAAGGTATGACAGATGGGGAGATGGAAGTGGCATTGTGTGTCAGGGTGGGAAGCTCATATTGCTAAAATTCCAAACAGGCATCCAGATCTTTAATAAGCCTTTCACATTACATGACCAGCATATAACCCCATCCACTTGAATACTCAACAAATTTAAATAGAATTTTGTGCAAAGACTAAAATCCTTATTCCTAAATTCTTACCCAATCCCCAAAAATTCTCTCACAAGTAAATATAATTACTGTACAAATTGAATGTGAACAGGAAAGGTTATTTACCTTTCACTATAATTTTTTTCCTCACATGTTAAGTAAAGAAAGCTTTCTCTTAAGAAAGAGTACAAAACCTCAGCTGACAAAAAAAAAAAAAATTCAGAATTCGGCATAAATTTGGAAGAGTTCATAAGAGGAAAATCACAAATAGAAAAAACAAAATTCTTTCAGTTCTACATTTTGTTGATGCTATCTGAATTTGGTTCCAAGAGACTTATTTTGAACACTTGCACACCACAATGAAAAAGGTAAACTGTACCAGATTTTACTTTCTCTAGGCACAGATTAAGTCATGTCAGTATATTCAAAATGAAAGATAAGAAAATTCACTTTTCTCATAACTTTGCTGCTTTTCAAAAATGAAATCTTCTAAAGAAAAAAAGAAAAGAGACAAGTGAATTTCCAGTAGAAATCGATAAGAATATTTAAATTTCTGCTACTGACTAGTTTACTGGAATCCTACAAAAATATGGTGCACTGCATCTTGCTTTCAATTTTTGACAATCTCTTCATTACCAAAATCATTTACAAGCAGAAATGTTTAAGGTCTCCATTTTTTAAAAGCAGCACAAGTAAACATTTTATAAAAGCTTTTTAATGCAAAAAGCTGTGGAGGATTCAACAAATGCTTTTAACAGAACTAGAAAAATCCCACTCTTGTGTGATTATTTCAATTTTAGAGCAGTTGAACTAATTTAGATCATCATTTAAGAGTAAAAGATTAAATACTAATTTATGCAGCAAACTATATTTTACAAATTAATCTACTGTGTTACAAGGAAATTTTAGATAAGAGAGATAGAGAGAGAGGGAAAATGGGTGGGTGGAGGAAAATGGGTGGGTGGAGAGATATTGAGAGAACGGAAAGTTCCACATTCAGAATTTCAGGATATCTGTTAAGGATTTCTCAACAAAAACCCAGTTGAGTACTAATCAGTCTACAAGAGAAAAAGATGCAATGAAGTTCCCAGTTTCCTCAGGACAAGAAGGAATGAAGCTAACTTCAAAATTTATCCTTTATGTCTGTTGATAAATAATGATAAGCATCTGTCCAGATTTATCAGAATTGTTAGATTTCTATCAAATATTCTCAGCAGTATTTTGTGCTGGTAGCAACATTTGTAACAAGGGATCTTAAAACAGATCGCCAAAGATAATGAGCCAAAATATAGTAATGGTAGAGATCCTAGCTGTGAGCACTATTGATCCAGGCTTGTCAGACATCAGAGCATTCTTTCTCCTCTTTCAAAATTGCTTGCCGACTTGCTTTTAGCATGGCACGTACCTTTGACAAAATTGTCTGAAAGAGAGAGAGAGAGAGAAAAAAAAAAAAATTACAGAAGGGAAAATTAATAATGAGAAAAAGAATATATATATATATATATATATATATATGTGTATGTGTGTGTGTGTGTGTATAGCACCAAAACTCTAATCCAAATAGTAACAGTATAGTAAATGGTGTAAAACTAGGTTACAATTTGGCTCAGCATTCTTGAGCACTGCAGGTTTTTGTTTAAGTAGTCATCTATCTTTTTCTTTTGAAAGGTCAGTATTGGTCAGGTTGATTTTTGATGCTTTACTCTGTGTGTGTGTGTGTGTGTGTGTGTGTGTGTGTGTGTGTGTGTGTGTGTGTGTGTGTATATATATATACAATATATAAATAAAAATAAAAGGAAGAAAAGAACCTTTAACACTACAATAAGAAATTTTCATGATGCAGAGACCTGCAAGCTTATAGGTATATATTTGATACATGAACTAAATACAATAATCAATAAAATGATATAGGTCTTTGTAGCAGAAGACCAGAAAAAATACAAAATATGGAAATCGATAGACATAAAAAACAAACTTAAAAGAAAGATTTATTAGATGTCACAGTATGTCACATATAGAAAAACCAATGTGAAATCACTTTAAATACACGCATCATCCAACAATACAATCAAGCAGATACCACAATCAATTAACTGCAGGTTATCTGAGAATTCTTCCAAGGGAACACCATCTTTAAATAAATTAGAAATAATAACCATACATAATTCCTTACCTCGGATACTTGGGGTTCAGATTTTGTTGGCACTGTTACTTGTGTACTTTTGTGGTCATTTGGAAGAGCTAACTGATTATTTACATCATTTTCAGTCTCTGAAGAAAGTTCAACCAGAGAATCAGACCTACAAAAAGAAATTTACGTTTAGATTGACATGAAAGCAATAAAACAAAACATTTGTAAGCATTTCTTTACATATAAATATACAACAGAAATATGATAAATGATTAAAAATAACAAGCTTACATATTTTTTACCATCTTAAAAGTTATTTTTTCTTTCAACAGAGCAATACACAACTGGGTTTTGAAATACTTGTCTAGTTAACAATCAGTATTCCTCAAGCATTAACCCGATTGTCTTGAATTTATAATCACATTCTCATGGTAATACTATTGTTTTTTTTTTTCTGAAAATGTTGAAATAGTAAGCTATCTAGCATATTCTACAAGGCATAAAGGTATAACCGAACTTTCTTTTAACAAAATGGATCAGCACTTCCACTTAGGAAGAATTCAGCATCTGTTTGCTCTATGAAAAGCTATATTGTGTTGAACAAGTTAAATAATCTGATATCCCTGTACAACAGAATGAAAGAATTTTTTTTATAAACAGAAGATCCACAACATTCAAATAACGGGAATGTAAAGTTTCAATCATGGCTTACTTGGTTGTGAGGTCAATTGTTGGTCCACCGTTTTTGGACAATTCCTTTCTTTTATCTGTTACATCACCATTTTTCTTTTTCAAAGTATCCTTTTTTATACTTTTACTAGACAAGTGAGATTTTTTATCCTTGCTGTCTTTTCGGGATTTGGATTTAGAAGTTAATTTGGTTGAATTTTTCTCACTTTCTAACCTGGAAGATTTGGACCTTTTTTTACTTGAAGACCTGTAAAAGCAAGTGAAAAATACAAATGTTATTACCAACTTGATTAGGATGAGGGAAGAGAATGAAGGTACAGACTTACACAATTCAATATTGAAAACTTTGGAATGGGGAAGAGCAATGACCAAATGTTGAACTTTCTGTGGGAAGTTCCTTAAGAGTTTACAATGAATTTTGAATTAAACAAATGCAAAGCGTAAATGAAGAAACTATTCTGGATAAACTGAAGTATAAGGACTTTCTTTACTCTCATATAGCTGACAATTCACAGACATTATTACCCGGGGTTAGTTTCAACTTACACCATTCATTATTTAATTCGATAAAGTAAATTAAGATGAAATTACCGTGATCTTGAACGTTTGTGCTTCTTTTTAGAATTTGGTGATTTTGAATAAGGTTTAAATTTCCGAAATGGAGACTTTGAATGACTACGTTTCCTTGATGGGCTTTTATTATTCTTTTTACTGTTGGGTGACTTGGAGCGTTCTCTGTGGGACCTAGATTGGGATCTAGAACGAGATTTTTCTCGACGATGAGACTGTGTTCCTAATGAGGTGTACTGAGATCGAGAGGGATGTGATGGTGATCGTGACCGAGAATGACGCCGCAATTTGGAAGATCTATTATGAGAACTTGCATAGTTTGGAGACCGAGACCAATCCCTGCGCCTGTTCTGACGACTATTTGATACATAACGACTGGGAGACCGAGACCGAGACCTAGAAGCAAAAGAAAACAAAAAAAAAAAAAAAAAAATTCTTTTAAGACACCTTTAAAAGGTTATCTTTGGAAACCACTCAAAAAGTTTTATTAGAAAATCAGTTTGTTAAAATGAAGTGGATGACTAGAGGCAAAGATTAAATATATGAAAGCATATCAATTTAACAATGACACCCAACATAAATCAGTGCAACATTATAAATGGCTACTCTTGAATCAGTTTTCATATATTTATTGCTTTTGGACACTGTAGCCTCCAGCATATTCTAACATTATTTGGGTTTTATTTTAATGTTTGATTAAAATATAAATAAAAGGAAAAATGGGAAATGATAGCAGATATAAACAAGTTTAAATAGTTGCTTACATTTTCAATTCAATCATGTTTAGACAGATTAAATAAAAGCTTATCATCCTGACTTGTGAAAAAGTTAATTTATTTTCAAATAAGTATGCTGTGAGCATTTGTACATAACTTAATTATTCATATTAAGTTATTATTGTAGATTTGTAAAATCTAATTAAACTACCGTAATTCCCTATGTATAATTCACCTTCATCCATAATATGCACACCTAAAATTGTGCTGAAAGTATGGGAAAAATGCTCCTTCTCATGCATAATATGCACTCCTTGTTTGGTAAACAAACCCTATAAATTGTACTTTTCCAATTTCATTATAGCCAGCATTTTTTAAAGATTCTTTTGAAGCTCTGCATGATACACAGCTATGATTTTGCTTATTTTTTTCAGAAAAAAAATACATATTATACATGGGGAATTACAGTAATAATAATAATAATAAAAAAAGAAAGGTCTTTGGCTGATGAACTCGATAGTATTTGACATTTTATATATACATATATTATATATAAAAGCAATTCTCTAAAGAAGCAATGGACTTATTACCGTATATACTCACAGATATGTCGCACTATTTTTTTACCAAAAATTTCACAAAATATTAGGGGTGTGACCGATCCACTTGACATAAACATAAAACAACAATACCTTGTCATCATGATTTCCAAGAAATCGGAAATGATGCTCATACACACTAAAGCTGTCGTTTTTCTCCATATAGAAAAAATTATCTATCATATATACTGACTCACTGCTTTAAACTAATCTCATGCTGCTAGATTCACATATCCATCAAAATAAATAAAATTATAAAATATTCATTGATCCATCAGTCACCGTTCAGTTGGAACCCTTGCACTAGACTGATGTAGAAACCCTGAACATGCATACATGAATTAAGTAACCATGTGTCGATATTTACTGGCAAAGAAAAAAAATAATCTCAAGATTCATTGTGCAAAATATGAGTTAAAGAATGAAATATATTCTTTTTTGAGATAATTTTTTTTGATGATTGTTTCATATATTGAAAGTTGTTCTTAAGTGTTATTTACAAATAAAGTGCATGAATCTGTTACTCAAAACATTTGCACTATTTTGCATTGCACAGCAATATAGTCAGTAGCTAAATTTATAGCTTATTTTAATTGTTGCAAACCCTGATAATTCTTACATTTAAAAAGGTCTGGGAACTCTCCAGATTATAGTGTGACCTATCTGCAAGTCAACAGTAAATCATCTATTATTAAGCCATAAAGTAGGGGGTGCGAACTATCTGCAAGCATATATGGTAATCTGACAAACTATCTCTTAACATTATTTTTAAATGGAAATGTGTATATGAGTAGACACTCAGTTTATTTATTAAACAGCATATTTATTCATTTCTGTCTACTGGGCTGAATATTTCATAAAATTTATTAAAAGAAAAATATGTGCTCTCTAGCATGATCTGAACCCATGTCCCACTTGAGCAAAGGAAACTTGTTAGATAAGACATTCTCTAGATGGACCGAGCTTCAGAGAACTTAGCCAATCAGGGATTTTGTTAAATGGCACTATTCAACATTTAAAGATATATTTTATATATATATATATATATATATATATATATATATATATATGTGTGTGTGTGTGTGTGATTAAAATGAAAGGGGGTCCATGTGTGCCTCTTATATGTAAATTTAATAGGCCTGTTAATAAAATTTGGAGAATAAAAAGCCAACAAAACAATACCAATATTGGCTATAAAATTTATATTTATTACATATTAACGTTTTGACTAAATTAAAGCATGAAGAGAGAGATTTTAATGTTGGCAACGACATGAGGCAAAAAACAAAGTGTTTTTGTTGGTTAGAGGTCTCCCTGTGCTAATTATACTCTCCGAGTAAATCCAAGCCACTGTTTAATCACTCAATGTGTGAATTTATTTTGAAAATAAATTTCAACTCAGTCTTTTTTCCCCAGCTGCTGAATGAAGATGCTAAAAGCACACATCTGATGTCATCGATGCTATAAAATGTTTGGTTGAAGTGTGCAGCGACGGGAATTATTGTTATTGTCTGATTTTTTTTTTTTTTTTTTTTATGATCATTGAACTGAAGATGGAATTTATTTTCTCCAACAATTTTCTTTTTTGCATTTGTGGCAGAAAAGCAAATATATAAGATTTGAACTGTCACAATTCAGAACTGGTGGTTTGAATACTATGTGAGTGCCGGGGTTGGGGGGCATGAAATTTCTATCAAGGATGATATGCCTACAGACTTGGCATCAGGGTTTATTGCAGATGATATTCCTTTGGTGAGGTGGTGAATCATGTATACCAAATGATGTTAAGAGTGTGTGTAGATTTTGGGGAGGGGGGGGGGCTGACACCTAGTGTGAAGTGGGTTTTTGCTGAATATTTTTCTAATTGTGTATAATTGGGCTTTTGTCAAAATGTTTCAAGTAGATGTAATAGATCTAATTTGATTAATACACTGTCATTGGACAATATCTTTAGAGGACAACAATTCTGGCAGAGGAGTTCGCTTTTGGCTGAAAATGGAGTAAACTGTTTTCCTCATTTTTGAAGGGAGAAGGTGCCTGGTCCTGTAAATTCCTGTGGCAGCATCTTCATTGCACCAAGAAAGGTGGCGGTTGGTGTAATATCAATGCCAGTGTGACTGGCTGTTAGAACTGGACAATTTTTATCTTTGGCTCATATCCCTACATAAAAATGACCAGGTGTCACATCCTGTCTTAGTGGGGAGGCTGGGTAAATACTTAATGTTGGTCATGCCAGATCAGCTTTAGCATGTCAAGAGTAATTATACTAGAATTTGGATAGTGTTTTTATAAGAATGGGCTGCAGAGTGTGATGGAGTTAATACTTACCTAGATTGTGAATGCTGGTGCTTTCGCTTACTGGGACTAGGAGACTTGGTCATTGAAGATTTCCCCTTTCGAGAAGGGGACTTTGAAGAGCTTCGCTTCCTGGAAGGACTTTTACTGACTTTTTTACTATAGGGTGATCGAGATCTTTTTTCTGAAGACTGAGACTTTTCACTACGGTGGGGCAGCACAACAGCAGAATTATGATATCTGCTATATATAAAAAAAATATAGAGCATTGTTCATTAAAATAAGATGATAAAAAAATAAAAGTATCAAATTATTAAATGTTTGAGAGTAAAATGTAGCAAGTGATGCTTAAAGATGTAATAATAATACTGGTTTGAAACAAAGGTGTCAGAATTTAAACAAGTGCTTAAATGCAAACAAATCTTATTAATTGATTATTGATTAAGAGTGTTAAGTATTTTTTTTCAGCAGCTGTGAGAAAAATCATTTATATAAAATTTTTAATTTTGCATCTTCACTTGATAAGTAAATTTACCTTGTTATGTAATGATTAATATACAAAGTGCATATGGAGACAAAAAAAAAAAAAAAAAAAAAGTTACCTTCGGGGTAAGTTATAGGCACTAGGAGGTGTAGGTGATCGAGAGTGTCTTTGATGGTTTCTGGTATGGCTACTTGATTGTTGCTGGTGATCACTTTTTTCATTTCCCCTCTCAGAAGAAGATCGTCCAATTTCTCCCTTGGAGCTAGAGTCCAGTGTATAGTCTACAGAGTTTGCAGATTGGTAATTAGTATCAAGCTGAGGGCTGCTTGCTTGGCTTGGTATTGGTGTGTTACCACTTGACCCTGTTAAATGAAATAAATAAAAGAAATATAAATAAAACAAAAAAATTAAAAATCTCAAAATGTTCACTAAAAGATGTTTGTAAGATTTAACAGGTGTGTAGTTTATCATGAATTAATTCCTAGTATCATAGTCATGCATACAACAAAAACTTGCTTTTAATGAACAAACCCATTAGCTAATGAGCAAGCTAATACCAGAGACCAATTTACTAGCGTAGCAATTTTGATTCTTCTGAGTGGCTACCTTCTTGTGAAATAATAGCAAGCTATTGTAGTAGAGCTCAGTTCTCATGATTCATGCTTACTTTAATTTGCAGAAGGAAATGTGGGTAGTAGAAATTATTATGAAAGAAATAGACAAAATTGTGAGCACTATGATATACAAAAATAACTCACCTATTTCTAAATGATCCCCTTCGGCATTTTCTGAGTTATTGGAATGAGGCAACAATTGGTTAGAAGACTTGAGCATGTTGATGAAGAGAGCAGCTTTACGCTTACGTTCAGCCTGAAGCTGTTTCTCTTTGGTTGCTTGAGCCAGTTTCTCTCGGGCAGCCAATGCCAGCCGATCTTTAAGTTTCTCCTCAGCTAAAATTTACAAAACATAACATTTTTTTTTCTATTATAACATTCATGCACAAAATTCATAATTTAACAAATAAGTGATTAAGAGTAAATTAGATTTTTTTTTTTGTTAGGGTCCCAACTTGAGAACTGCTGAAGTTTTATTTATAGACCTTTTTAAAATTGACAAGAATTTAGTAAAAAAACAGAAGTGCCTCAACCTGAATTATAGAGACAATTCAGTTAATGTTACTGATTATCACTGCTTCTAATGTTTACAGTATTTCAAGTACAATCCTAATTTATATTGCCTACCAACTCAGTTTTTTTTTAAATTACCTAATTTTCTAGTCATGTCTTCCTGTGAAGAATCTGGTTTTTCCATTTTGTCTTCTGAGACAGCTTTGATTTCAGTTGATTTCTTGCTTGATTGGAACTCTCCAGATTCTGCATCAGGACTGTTTGTTTGAGACTGTTTATGAACATCTGAAATGAATTTATTGAGAAAAATGGATTTAAAGCAATTTTAACCATTTATTTTTAATTAGAGAATATTAACAAAATAGGATTAGCCTCATGAACAATAGGAAAATTTAGTTTGTAGCATTTGAACCTAAGAATCAATCAGAAATCTATTGCTCAATTTGTTGTTTTGTATATAACTTTTGAAAAGGGCTCATTAAATGTTCCAAGTTGAAAAAGTGAATTCTTTAGTATTGAGTCTATGCCCGACTTATTCTACAGCTTTTCAAGTGTAAAGACAAAAAAAAAAAAAAAATGTATCTACATACTAATTTTATCATGGTACTTATAAAGCAGTAATAAACTAGCATAAAAACAGGAATGCATTTCTAATCCCAAATGAAAATGAGATACTAATTTTAATCCATTTCTTTTTTATAAGATATAAAACTCAAAACGCAGATTAACATCAGGATTAATTCTGCCAGTAAAGGTTGTATGAACACAGCCTTTAGATTCTGTTCAGAATATTGTTTGGAGAATGACTAATATTTTCATTAAAAAAAAAAAAAAAAAAAAAAACTACCTGCTTCACTTTCATCTTCACTGCTCTCACAGGCAAAAACTGGACGCTTCTCTAATGACACACTTTCTTGTTCTTTGGTTTTAGTCTTGATAGAAAAACTGACACCTTTATTTTGAGCAGCTTTCTGTTCTTCAATTTTCTTTCTTTCTTTCTCAAATTCCTAAAAAAAAAACAAAAAAAAAACAAACAAAAACAAGATAAAATTTCTTTAGACAGCATTTAGCTCATACTAAGCTTATAGTCTGACAAAACCAATGTTCCATAGTAGCACAGATTATAATAAGAAATTAGTTGAAGTGTCCAGACTATTTCTGATCATTCAATTTCACAAGGTTTTCAGAAATCAAGTAATAAAATGAAAGTGGTGAGAACATTTTTATTTGATAATGCTTATAACCTCTAAGTTTTCTTGAATAGAAAGCATATGACAACATATGCAATTTCCTATAAAACCAGCATTATCCTTAGCTAATACTGAAACTGGGATTTCAATATTGTTCTTCTCTAAATTAATCATTAACTTAATCATGGAGTCAACACCAATAATAAAACAATCATTGAGAAAAGAGACAAAATATTGGCAACCAAAAGTGATCTAAAAAAGAAATGAATAGCTGATGAACTATTGTTTATCATAATAGAATTAATCACCACAAATTATGGTTTGCTATGGACCAAAAGTAATAAAATTCAGAACTGAGATTCAACTAAACTTACCTTGATATGCAGTTGTTTCTTGAATTCATAATATGGATGATGTAAGTGGTCTTTGTTGAGAAATTCAAAACGTGGATCACATTTATTCTTGACTACCATCTCAAATTCTATCCCATTTTTTGCAACATAAAGAGCCATCTTGTCTATGACTGGCTGTACATCTGGTGATGGAGGGATTATATCATTCTGTTGAGAACCATAGTCACTTGAAAAAGAAAAAGAGTAAAGATAAATATACACCTATACATATTTACTAAAAATTTTTCCTATATGCTGTTTTCTCTTCAAAAGATGGATATGTTTTATAATGCTTGTAAGAGAAAAGTTCAGCTAAATGTGAACTATATATATATATATATATATATATATATATATATATAGCAAAAGTACTCTTCAATATACTAGTTTTTGCTATGTTGTCCGTTTACACAGCCATACAAAAAAAAAAAAAAGAATTATCCAATTATTCATACTATTATAAGTGGATTCCAGCAAAAAAAACAAAAAAAAAACACTATGGTATTGTCCCAACCAAAATGTCACTATTGAAAATGTTCTAACTCAAAAAATAAAGCAGTTTTTAGTGCAAATAGATCACTGGTCATAGTATAATTTTCATTAATGAAAAATTGACATAAGAATAATGCCTGGTCAAGTAGATAACTCAAAGTTTATTAAATGCTAATTACAGATTCATTTCATACTTATTACATTTATATTCTTAATTAGGATAAGAGCAGTAAGCAGGAAAGAATCAGACATGTTAATTATGATAACACATCAGTGACGATACTTGAATATTAGCATTTGTGAATAATTATGACATGAATTCTATGAATATGAAGCAACTTGACAGTGTTCTCTGTGCTCCAATGTTACATTTTAGTCTTCTTTTAAAAGATAAGTTTAACATCCTTAATGAATAACTTAAATTTCATTTAATTCCAAAGAGGAATTCAGTTTTGGTCCTACATTGACTCATTAAAATGCAAATAGTAATTAGAACATAAATTTTACATCACAAATGAAAGTGGTTAGAACACATTTCATTTACTTTTGATTACAAAAACCATGCAATGCAGTTAATTAGGAATAATCACAACCAAATACAAGGCAAAACTTAGAGATGAAGTAGTCTTCCAAAATAAAACTTACCTTCCTGTTGTATTCTCTGGAGAATCTGAAGAATCATATTTAGGCAAACATAAAGGTACAGCATTGTCTGTTCCTGGAGGAGGAGGTTGGTCAGATGGTGGTAAGGTGACAGGTTCAACACCAGGAGGTGGGGGAACATTTGGACCATATACGGGTTGGGCCATGAATGGAGGTATGCTAGGTTTGGGATCACTCGCTTCAAGTTCCTTTGCTTTACTATCAAAAATGAATGAAAAAGTTTTTAAAACTCACTCAAATTATAGTCATACATAAAAGCATTAGTAAGGGATTGGACATATTTTTAGAGATGTTAAATATATTTGAGCAGTCTCAAAACAAAAACGCTACACTAAATAGTAAGCAGTAAATAAAAATTAAATTATAAATACTGTAAAATATTGACATTATTCATGCCAACAAGTTATTGCCTTTACAAGCTCTCAGGTCCCTCAAAAAAAAAAAAAAAAAAAAAAAAAAAAAATTGGCTTACTTAATCAGATTTTTCTAAGTGGGCAGGGGCAAAGAAATTTTCAGCATATGTTATCAAATGCAGCATTTTAAGAATTACAAAAATCAGCAGAAATGAAAACATTTCTAGAATGCACATCTTTACTCACACAAAGACAAGACAGACAAAACAAAAATCAATCAAGCTTATCAGTACATAAACAAAAATGATAAAGTGAAAAAAAAAAAAAAAAAAAAAAAAAAAATGGAGTAAGGCCCTATAATTGAACCTCACAAGATAAATTTTGTGCCCAACATTTTTTAGCTTACTTGTGGTTCTATGCCAAACTATATGGCACACAACCTCAAAAACAAAGGGCCTCACATTAGTGTAAAAATGACTTGTAGATTGTTAATTAAAAAGTTTAATTCAAACTGGGGGTCCCAAAATAAGTTAGGCCTCATAAATAACATTTTTAATACTAGGCATTAAATGATTTCAAGCAGCAAAAATGACATCACAGGGAGGAAAAAAAAACATGCCAATTGAAAAAAAAAACAAAACAAAGTAGGGAGGAGAGTGAAGTTGAAAAGGAAAAAAAAAAAAAAAAAAAAAAAAAAAAATTTACATTTTTTTAGCATTTTGTCTTGCTGTAGAGGCTTTCACAGACCGTATGAGGTCTCCATAAGTTGTATTTTGTATATCCACTGTGGGCATTTTCAGTGGTTTGCGACATTCAGCAGGTTGTGATTTCACTGTTAGAATTGGATGCAAGTAACTCTGGTTATCATCATCGTCATCATCATCATTATCATCTAAAAAGGAAAAAAAGTTTTAGTTTAATCACTTGAACAAGTACTTTATTAAAATTAATTCATTGTCATAAACAATTGAAATACTTTCCTTAGAAATATTCTTATGTCTTCAATCTCTTTACTAAGTATTCAAGATTTTTAATCAACTGAAGAATATTTAACAGTAATTTATTTTCATCTAACAATCATTGAAAGTTCCATTTTATGAAATTAAGATTAAAAAAAAAAAAGAAAAAAAAGGTCTAATAAAACATAAAATAAAAAAATAATGAAAATAGACTTCCCAACAGCTAACTTACCTTCATCTTCACTCTCATTGTCTACTTTAGGCTTGTATTTTCCAGACTTGATCATCTTAATCATATGCTTATAGTATGGGTAGAGTATATTGTCAATGTTTAAAAACTCAAATAAAGGATTGCTTGATTGTTTAGTCTTGATCATTATTTCCATTTGTCCACCTTGCATCACAACAAAACTGGCTGTCTTCTCAATAATGGCATTGATTTTATTGCTGTCAGGCTAAATGAAAAGAGTCATTAAGATTAGTAAAGATTTCAATTTGGGAACTTCAATATTATATATATATAAAAAGAATCAAATAGTTTACATAAAATTTCAATTATATGCAAACATACTTGTTTGCTTACAGTAATAATTGATGAACATTGCAAAAAAGATTAATTTATGTAATGCTCAAAATACATATATTGTTTATTATTTGCAAAGGCATTCTGAAACATTCAAATGAAAAGATAAAATTTGTGAAGAATAGTACTAGGCAATGTTCTGGAGAAAAGTAGGAAACTATCATCTAGTATTACAGTCTGTGTGTCTCATGCAAACAGCAGTATTCCGAGATGACTGATAGATATCTGGTACGTAAAATAAACAACATTCAATCTAGAACAGTGAACCATTTCTGATACTAACTTTTCCTTATTAAGAAGCATACTGCATGTATATGACAGGTGTCACAAACACATACATCACATTCAACTGCTCAATACCACTAAATAGCAAAAATATTAGAGCCAGTGAATTTAGAGATTTATAATTTTGGATAATTAGTGTGATTGAAAGAGAAATATCTCATTAAAAAAGGAAATGCAACAAGACTTAAATTTTTCCCTATTATTTTTGAAATGTTTGAATATAAATTACAAATATTTCAAGAGGTTATTTAATGACATGCTTTGACTGATACAGTAAGAAATATGTGAAGATGACATTTCAAGCCAAACTAAAATACAACAAATAATTCATATCCAATATAATTCATTATTGCACTAAGTCTTTTTTACTTTAGGTTGTTGTATTAATATCATCATTCATAAATATTGTACTATTAGAATGCAAATTCCACAGAAAAATCAGCAACTTTTGAAAGATAACTTACAATAATCATTTCAGATGGAACCAGTAATTCTTTGGGTGCAACAAATTTCTCTACTGCAGCTTCTAAGGCAGCTGTTTATAAAAAAAAAAAAAAAAAAAAAAAAAATAAAAAAAGAAAACTAATATAAAAATTGAAGTGAGTATTTCAATTTATAGCAGGTTTAAAATATTTTCATTAGCATATTAGGAATCTGTGATGTATATTTTATATTTATTTTATCCAACTTTTCAAATTATTTGCCCAAAATGATTGTTTTCATAGCCTATCAATTGTCAGTTATTTAATGTCAAAAAGAATTTTTTTTTAAATATGTAGCTTGTAAACAATCCTTCCCAAAATGAAATTCACTATTTTTTTCTTTTTCTAAAGTGTGTGTGTGTATTTTGTATAATTAATTTTTGAGAATGTTCCATGTGCCACCTCATCTTAATCTCAAAATACTGGAAACAAAAGTATATCCAAGAAAATTGCTATTTTGTCAGCATATTAATATAGATATTTTTTATATTCAACTACATGCCAAATATGCAAACAAAAGTGAAGGTGTGAAGAATGTCAATTTTATTTAGTTTTTATTAGATTTAATATATGGAACAGCTATTAATCACTGGAAACTTGTCATTTTCAAAATTATGGTGAGAGTGTCATGAAATGTAAAGATTTTTTATTAATAAGATTTGCTAACTGAAATTAGAAAATTCTTCCAAAAAGCAGGATAAATTTTTCAAGCAAATTCAAAACCATGAAGGATTCCTGAGGTATGAATTCCTTGTTTTTACTGAAACCCTTAAAACTTTATAAAGCGTAACTTGACTAAATACAATGTTGTTAACAATGATAGCAATTTAGATATTTTTACTTTATGCTTACATTGAAAATACTTGTTTCCAGGATTTTGAACTTAAAATGCATTCTACTACCAACTTTGAGAAAATGGTTTTTTTTTTTGGTTTTTTTTAAAATGTAATAATGAAACAAAAACATTTAAATGAAACAAATTTCAAAACCACTGCTGTCAGTGAATGTTTGTGCTGATGGTGAATATTTCCTAGTGAAAACTTAACTACAGCCTTTAATCCAGGAAAAGCAATTGGTTGCTTACAAAAGGAGTCAGCAATTATTTGGCCCTTGTTCAATAGAAACTTCACATACAGGGTCATGGGAAAGTTAACACCATGGTGTTTGTTACCTGAAGTGTCTGGTATCACATGGATTGCTCTGCCAGCAAGATGTTGCTCCACCACATTTAGCGAGGAATGTCTACAACAGGTTGGATAAGAATTTTGCTGAGAGATGGATAGACAACAGAATGCTCTCCAATAAGCCTGGATTATATTCTGATGGACTTCTTTTGGATGAGACTGGTCGAAGGAAAATGTTAATCAATGGAAAACTAAACATTTTTGATCAACTGCAGGAAAATATATTAAGGCTGTCACACAAGGTATACAAAGTGGAGTATTTTTTTTTTGTTTTTAAAGACCTTTTGAAGGAGTGATGGCATCAAAAACAAAAAACAAGAAATAAACATATACATTTGTAAGAGCGTAGCAAACAGTTTAACACAAATGTTGATCAATCAATTGAACCTTAAAGGATTCATACAAACAAAATTTGGAAATGCCCTATTTCCTACCTTTGTAACAGGAAAAGAAAAAAAGAAAAGAAACACCAAAAGCTAATATTTTGCTTTTATCAATTTTTTTTTTTTGTTAACTCATCTTAATCTTATTTAGTACTGCTCAGTACTTATTGCTTGCCTTGTTTCCACTAAGTAAGTTTGTACTACCTGGCCCAGGGATTGAATCCACAATTACTGTATCATCAAATTCATGAATTGATGCTTTAATCCACTAAGCTACTGTCTAGAATATTGAGCTTTAATCTGAATCAACACATTTGACTGCATTCACTGAAGTTTCTTTTCTTATTACTGCTGCTGCCTTTGAAGCCTTACAATCATTTCTCTTTATTAACAGAATCTTTTCAGACATCTGACTCTCCAGTATATCTCTCTGTATAGTATTTATACTTCATTCCACAGGGGTTCATGACTACACTTTTCACTTTATACATGATCAACCATGCCAGATTTCATTGTCTTGACCCTAATGACGGCTTTTTTGATATTTCCCCAGTCTTACTTTTAGTAATTGTGAGTTTAATCATTGGGCCAAGTAGAGAGGACTTATATTGTGGAAACAAAGCAAACAATAACTGAGAAGTACTAAATAAGAACAAGATGAGATATTCCCAGACATGGACAGCAGAATGAAAATCTTCAGTTTGAAATTCCCCAAAGGTTACCTAGAATGACAAGCTCTTGAAGCCCAGAGCACACAAGATCTGAAATGATGTGATAAATATGAGGACAATAGTCAGAATGTAAATAATTGTATTATTATAGTTAAAACAAATCACATGGTTAGAGCATTTTAAGAATGCCATTCAAATAAAGATGAATAGTCAAATGCAAGATTTTTTTGTGCAAAATGCGAGTATTAAGCAGTCTAACTTACTGACAATTACTGATGGAACAAAAGCTACGAATACCAAAACCCAGGTAGAAGAGGAAGAGAAATGGCCATAAAACTGGTAATTAATTGATGGATTCATTTTCTACGGCTTATCAATCCATTGCAGGTCATTTAAAGCAAGAAAATATTTTTAGATTGTAAGAATTTGGGGGTTGAGGGGGGATAAAGATTTAGTGATACAAGTCTTACTAAGAGGGAATGGGGACTCCTACCTTTCTCAAGGGTATTTACATGTAAGTGAATATGACAATCACAAATGGAATTGGAACACTGTTCTCCAATCAATAATTCCAATTCATTATACCACCTCCACACCCAAGCTTACAGCACATGGTATTCCCAAGCAGTCACCAATCTTGGTAGTGACCGAACTTGACATTGGTTCCTGTACAATCATTAAAGTAGTGTTTCAAAGTAATGTGACCATAAGTCTCCACCCTATTAAGGGGAAACTGTGACTGAAACCACAAATGCAGCCCAATACTTTTAACAGGTAGCCCACTAAAATCAATGATAATATTGTCATGTATATAAAACTATATTTTAATATGCTAACAGAAACAAATTCTTAGTCATTAGCAGTTACTCGACTGAACACCATATAATTGTTTAATATATAATAAAAAGGCATATCTATCATAAATCTGAATGTAGCCCAGAACAGGGTTCCAAGTTAAACTTTACTTTTTAGTAAAGAAATAAAAAGTTAATTAAAAGGAAGCTGTATAACTTAAACAGTCATACTTCAACTGGTAAATAAAGTGATCCTGAATATGGCTACAAATCTCTTCTGGGAGCAGTTTTTATATATATATATATATATATATATATATATATATATATATATATATATATATATATATATATTAAGGTGTGGTATATTTATGGGATAAAGTGCTCAATATCAGAAAGAGCGTGTGTAAATATAAAAGTGAACATTGAAGTCAACACTTAGAGAGGCCTCTAAGTGTTGACTTCAATGTTCACTATATACATATACGAGTTAGAAATAAAGAATAAAACTGCACCATTTGAAAGGACTCATTACCAATGTGTTAAATGTTAGGTCAGAGATAACACTATAATCTGAAGTGAGCCAACATTTCAGGCATTTTCGCAGTCATGATAACTTTAATATACTAGTAATTCTTGTAAACTGTTAGAGACAAAGAAAACAGTATCATTAATTTTCTTTCTACAAATCAGAACACTTGATTTAAAGAAAAAAATCATTACAAAATAGATAAATCTTTCATTTTAAAGACAATGACAAAAGGTCTGAATGAATAAAATTCAGATGATACTTCTTCCTGAGGCTTACCAGTTAATTCTTGATCTTCATCAGTTGGCAGAGAGGGATCATATTGTTGTTCATATACAAATCCAACTGCATTAAAACCTTCAGATAGAGACTGATAATAGCGTTTCCATTCTTCCTCTGTGAAAAGAAAAACAAGACAATTCAGTTCCAAGAGGAAGTTTAGTCAAGTCTAGCCCAAAGAATGAGCACCGAGTGAGGATCCCACTCACTATAGCAGTAAAAGTCCGAGAGACTAACTTATTGTTCAGCAAGAAGATGACTAAAAGTAAAGTTTAGGTGTAAAAGATACTTTAATAAGGTAAACATTAAAAACAAATATCACAATTCTCTTTTAATGATTAAGACAAAAAACAATTTAAGTAATAAGAATTCTAACTTAAAACAGGGTGTTAATGCAGGTTTTTTTTTTTTAAAATCATACATGGATACTTGCAATAACCACAAGATACAAAGAAGCATAATTAGCAAGATCAATAGCAAATTTTTACTTTGGATTTAAAAAATCCAGAATCAAGTAAATACAGTTTTAGAATAGGAGTGTTATAAGTTTCAAACAATGCCACTATATATATATATATATATATATATATATATATATATATATATATATGTGTGTGTGTGTGTGTATATATATATATATAAAGCAAACTTTACATGACATGTTGATGTACTGAATTTGATCCAGCATGGCTTTAATAAGTACTGTGTAAACTTAGTAAATTTCCACAATTATATAAGTTAATGTTAAATTGAAAAAACTGAAGGCTGATTAAACTTAAGACTGGTTTGGCTTCCCATTCATCAAACTAAAATAAAAGTGGTAATTTTCAATGTACACTTAAAGGATATGTAAAACACCATGCAATAAAGATACAGACTGAAGAGTGTAAAGCATAGTGCATCATTATATATAAATATATATATATATCTCAAAATACAGAATGTGTACATTGCTATGATAAGCCTTAGTGATAAATGGAAATATCTCATACAAAATCTTGAATGAATAAGTTAAAAATCATCCAGACAAAAGATGACACAACTAACCTTCATAAAGTGCTTGTTCTTGTATATCTGTGTGTAGTTCCAGGTATCTCTCCTGGTCACACATAGCTTCAATATGCTTCTCCTCTTCAGAGAGTGAATCACAATTTTTTTTTTCTGCATCATAATCACTTAGGTCATATAAGTGACCTCGACCATCATACCTGGAGAAGAAAGGGTACAATCAAAAATCAAGTGACAAAATGACAAAACTGGATATGATCTAATCAAGACAAAAGACATCAATATCACAATTATTGGTACTTGAAGACAAAGAACTAAACAAAAAGATTTTCAAATTCATTATTTTCTAAATGTACAAATCCAGTATCCCATATACCTAAAAAGACTTTAAAATCAGTTATCTATATATTTAAATCATTTAAATTTTTCATTCAACAAAAATCAAGGTAACTTATGGAGAGAGAGAAAGGGGGGAAAGAAAAAAAAAAGGGCACTTTATGCAACAATATAAAAATAAATAAGAAAAATGCACCTGTGAAGGGAAAAATATCCTGTCTTCACAACATAATGAGTGAAAATAGAAGAAATGCCATCATTTCCATAGATTTTTTTTAATGTAATAAACGTAACAGTCATCTGATCAGTATTCAATTTTTTCATGAAGAAAAAATATGATTAATGAATTTAGAAAATAGGAACTTTATCTTCATTTTAGGACAAATCGTATCTTCTCATCCTGATTATTAATAATAAAGAGAAAAGTTTTAAACTATTAATCCTGATATTGATAAATGTATCAAAGATTGTTGCAGCCAAATATTTATCAGTGAATGCCTAAACTTTTTCTTTAAACATGGCTCAACACAGAAGTGTGTAATTAAGTACCATATTGATTAAAAATAGTTTTATTATTTTTACAAATACTAATTAGCAGAGATGAAAAATAATAGTTCAATAGAAACAAGTTCATGAACCTACATAGGAATAGTATATCTGAACCATAATCTTTCTTTATCCTGCTGAGAGAGAAAGCAGTACTGACAATTTTGTTCTGCCTATCAATTTATACAATATCAAGGGAAAAAAAAAAGAAAAAAAAGTAATAATTGTATCTCTAGCAGTCAACCAGTTTCTTTTTCCTTGACTTCATTCCTAATCATTTATTTTGTGTCTTTTGTAGTAATTTAAAATGAAGTCAAAAGCAAAAAGATTTTAAAGTGGACAAATTGGGGGATCTCTTGCAGAAAAAAAAAACATACATCATTAGAATTCTATTTAAATCAGAACAATTTTATTATATTACTCTTAAAAACTTTTTTCTTTAATCAACTTTTGACCGATTTAATACATATTCAAATATTTAGATTAAATACTTCTTGCCAATAAAAAAAAAACAAAAAAAAAAAAAAACAACTTGTTCGATCTTAAATGTACAAACCATATTTTCTGTTGTGCAGACAAGTTTCATTCGAGGGCCTTTTAGACTTCTAAACAAGAGTTGTCAGTACCAGTTACCTCAATTCATTTGCCTATCCGTAAAAGTATAACACCTACAGATTTTTTTTTTTTTTTTTTTTTTAAGGACGAGTATAGATGGTAAGAAATTCAATATATAAATGTAACTATGTTTTGATACAAACAGATCTGTAGATGTTAAAAAAAAAAAAAAAAAAATTATAGTTTTGCAAGAACTTATTTACAAATTCTCCTAACTTGACTAGATCAAAATTTAACCATTCCTGCTCTTCATCGGTTAACTATTCTCTAAAATTTAGAATGCTTCTAACTCCTACACTTGCTAATATTCGATATATACAGGTGCTATCAAAGAATTTTAGGGGTAGTATGGCAACTGCAAATATACTATGAAGAGATCAGACAAATATTTATACAAGGTATTTTATTATCCCATGATCTTACTGAAATAAGTATTTTTTTTAATAGAGCATACTACTGAAAGCCACATAACTCCTTTATTCGGATGAATCTAAAATCTATGTCACAGAATTTATATCCTGTTTTTATTTATCTTTGTGATTATATTAGACATACTTTATTAAAATATAACTGAAAATTTTAGTAGTAATGTATCAATTCCTAGTTTGTATTTTTCACTTATTTCAGTCCAAACTGACTTGTTATTGATAGATTGGATAGTTGATTGTGTGCAGGAGTGTGATTCGTATACTGATAATGTCTAGAGCTACAAAGTATCATCTTAGTGACTGTTAAACAATTATTTAAAGATCCCAAGAGCCTATTGATACACTATAGAAGCAACAAAAAATAATTGTCATGGCAGTTTATACTCTTCAGTTCTGTTCTTGGTATTCTGACTTAACTCATAACTAAAGTCAAAAATTTTAAAATCAACAACAGTCTTTCATGAACATCTTTAAAACCATTTAATATTTTTTCTTTTACTGAAATTAATTTGTGAAACTGTTTTAGATTCATAAAAATCTATTAGTAATTAAAATATAAAACATCTTTATTTGTGGGAATTTTATATGTACAAAATTAGATCATTAGCATTATTTCCGAGAACAAATCAATTGGAAAATAAAACCACACACACCAACATAATAGTTTGTTTTGTATGTCATAAAAAAAGTAAAGAGTGATCAGTAGATATTGATTTATTTTAAAATTAAACTTATTTTTGAGAGATTGAGAAGAGTTGCTATAGATTAAATTTGCAACAAGTCATTAACATTATCATGCAGCAATAAACTTAAATGCAATAAATTAATATTATTGCAGCTTGATTTAAAAAATCTCAAACTAGTTTTTAAATCTTTTAACTTAAGCTATGTTCTCTATCTTCATGCTGAAAAGTAAGGAATAATTTATAATTCCAATTTTACCATTCTCCCTTTTTCAAAATGACAAATGCATCCAACATTGGGAATTGAACCCACAAGATAATTTATCTATAAAGATGCTACAAACGTTTGAATTAGTCATAGAACACCCTATTGCTTTGGTTTGTAAGAAAAACTTACAAAAAAAAAAAAAAAAAAAAAAAAAAAAAAAAAAAAAAATAGGTTACATCTTATTTACCTGAAAGAATTCTATGAATATTAAATCAACATTCATTTTATCAATAATTCTTAAACATAATGACAGAGTGAATGAACAGAAGTTTAAGAAACCAAATAATTTTACTAGTTTTTTAAACTAGCGGTATTCATCATCCATTAGGATTAATGCAATCATCAAAATTTCTATTTAAAAAGATATTACAAGTTATCTTCTATTGACAATGCTAATTTTAAGATATTTTCTCAATGTATACTGACTAAAGAAGCTTACAAATACTTGGTATTGTAATTCACACCATTAATTGTTTACAGTGATAATTCCCAGTATCAAAAAGGGGAATATAATTGTAGACAAAATAAAGTACAAAAGGCCTTGCATATTTTAATAGGTTTTTCATTTGAATAAACACTTATCAGTAGCACCTTCAGAATTATGAATAAACACTGTGTGTATTATATATATATATAATATATTTGTTAAAATCTTTGCAATTAAGAACCAAAGAATTTTTTGATTATTAAATTATATTTTAGAACTTTGGAAATATTCGTTAAAATGTTTTATTTTTCTAGCATCAATGGATGATCATAAATTAGAATGGGAAATCTGAGGGCCTTTTGCAGTGAAAACACTGATTTTGAAATTCTTGCGAAAATCACATAATTGTTGGATTCTAATTAAACTTTTGGAATGTTTCATTTAGAAAATCTTGGGAATTTTTTATTTTTTTTTTATTTTTACATTTGTTACCCACCACTTATTTAATTTTATGAAATTTCAAAGAATACATTTTGTACAGCTTTATTTATAAAATGCAATAAAACTAAGACATTATTTAATAAGAGAATCTGGTAAATTTGTAAATACCAGTGACCGATTTTAAAAAATGCATTAATCTTGGTGTAAAAAAGCCTGATTATTACAAAAATAGCTATAAAAATTAAGGAAACTCTACCATTTAGGAGATATTGCCAATCTTAGTTGGGTCCTGGGCACAACCTGGTTTCCACTGTTTACCTGAAGTAATATACTGCTCGATTTAAGTTCTTGAGGCACATCACTCACCATAACAAACACCTTCAGATTCCTGACTGAGGTAACCAGGCTAAATGATAGAGTTTCCTCAATTTTTATTGCTATTTTTGTAATAAATCAGGCCTTATCTGCCAAAAAGCTTTTAATTGCTTTTATGAATCATATATTACAGACACTATTGCCTTAAGAAAAAAAGCCCTCCCCCCACCATGCAAAATGAATTTTTACAAGAATCATTCTAAAATTTTTTAATTATAATTTATGAAGTTTTATATCTTTTAAAACTTTATTAATTTGTAATGGTAAAGTTATATTGTTATAAAGTAAAAATTGTATTTACTAATGATAAATGGAAATGTCAACAAACCCCAGTTTCTTAAAAAGAATTTTTAATTTTATTTGTGTGTATAAACATATCCATTTTTGTAAATACAGACATCCACACGTCATAAGAAAAAAAAGTTGTAACTATACTAAATTTATTGGCAATTTTGTGACATTTTCTCAATGAGTTTCTTCATAAGACTATAAAGCCAAAGTACCTAAAATTCAATAAAAAATTAGATTACTTAGAATATTTTCCTAAATTTTTAAAATGACTGGGTACTTAAAAGTTTATATAAAAGATGCTCCAGTTGTATTCAAGTAATTTCTACTGTTATGTGCTTTTTGCTAAGAAAAGAAAAATAAAAACTTTTGTGATATTTTAAAGTAATATTTGTTTTAATTCAGATTAATTAAACATTAAATCAGTTAATCTTCAAATAAAGTTACAGAAAGCTATATCTTATTTTTGTAAAATTTTTAATAAAGAGAATTATGTTGTGCCGACAGATTTGTCAATATGAGCGATTTTACTGATAATAAAAAAAAAAAAAAAAAAAAAAAAATACAATCAATTTAAATTTGGTTTAAGATACAGTAAAGCATTTTCTTTATTGGAAATATTAAATTTATTAGCTTCAAATATAAAAGTTTCAAGAAAGATTTTTAAAATGCATTTTAAACCTTAGGTAATCCTTTTGCTTTTTGGGGGGATATATGTGTGTGTGTGTGTGTGTGTGTGTGTGTGTGTGTGTGTGTGTGTGCAGAAAATTGGATTTTCTATACAATTTAAAGAAAATTTCTGCATCAATAACCAAATTCTTCTGCAGCAATATCCAAAGTTATATAAAAAAAATTTAATAGCCATCTCTGCATAAAAACCCATTTTGAAATTCACTCTTCATCTAAAATTCAATCCAAAGACACAAATTGTATAAACCTTACAAAAAAAAAAAAAAAAAAAAGAAATACTTCTCTGATAGGCATAAAAATACTATGTTTTTCTACCCCCCCTAGACATTTTTGAATTCTACTTTCACTTTCTCCTTAAAACTTCCAGAAATTGTTTTGCCAAAATTATGAAGAGATGGTCTTATTTAAAATCATTTTTAATATTCTGATTGAATAAATAGTATTTACAAAAAGGTTGAATACTGTTTAAAAAAAAAAACAAAAAAAAAAAAAAAAAAAAAAAAAAAAAAAAAACTACTTTGCATTTAAAAATCTTACCCTGCCTTACCATTTATACTCCAGCTGGTTCAAATGTACATTCTCTGCAGTTACCTGAAATCAACACAGTCAAAGAAAGAGTGGGAGGGAAGGGAACCAGGGCAAATAAAAACAAATGGAGGTAGATGGGAGAGGGGAGGGTAAATAATAGGTATAGAATCCAATACATATGTGGACCCCATGAAGACTTCTCTGTATGTTTGATATGTGAAGATAGGGTCTAAGCAAAGCAAATGAATAACTTCAAAAGATACACACGTACACGCACAATAAGTTAATAATATAAATAAAAATTATAATTCAAGATCCCCTGCAACTGTCAATAGAGCATCAATCAATAGAGAAAAAGCTGCAACTCGCAATTGCACTTAAAGGGTCAGCCTAATACCCAGGTGTCCCGAAAGGAAGTGCTAAAGAAATTGGACAGTTTTGATTTCTATCCGTACAACACAGATTTCAACTTCAAACCAACCTTGTTTTCATAATCTATCCATTTGAAGTTGCAGAGGGCGGCAGAGAAGTATATAAATTTCAGATATTATTTCTTATTAAATATCACTATCAGCAATTAAAAGTTAAAAAAAGTTGTATTTTTACTTACGTTTAATAAAAAAAAAAAGAAAAAAAGAAAATATTTACTATTTTCGATCATCTGCTTCTCCACCTTCAAGGATAGTGAACAAATGTTCCGTTTCTTTATTGTATTCCAGTGTTATTCAAGAAGTATATCAAAATAACTGGTTATCAACAGTAGAAATAAATACAGTTTTATTAGAATAAGCTAAAGAAAAAAAAAAAAAAAAGGTTAAATTTTGCCTGTAACAGTTGTGACTAAAATGTCAGATCTCTTGAAAATCAACTATAAACTAAGAAAAGAACAGAATTGATAATGCATTCATTATTTAAATTTAGCATTATTTTCTCCAATACAAACTAAAATGCTCACATGTGCCAGTAAATCATTTTTTAAACTAAACATAAGGCTAGCTCTTCTTAAGTCTTAAACTATTTAAAAAAAATAATCAAAATTTTTCTGATTAACTGAGAGAGAATTGCTAAATCCATTTTTGCGGAAATGAGATTTCAATGAATACGAGAAATCAAAATTAATCTACTAGTAAAAAGAAAGAATTACTAACAATACCAAGAATAATAAATATTAGTGAAATAAAAGATTTTTTCGGTCATGTGAATAGCGAATGTCATTCTTATTTCAGCAGTAACTACTAAAAAGAGTCAGTAGTAAAACGATCGTTTCTTGCTAATCTTGATTTGCTCCAACTACAAACAAAACAATTCATTTATTCAGTGTCGCTTGTCATGGTTTTTTATTCACCATTTTAACAGGCTGATGATGTTTCATCTTTTATGCAAACAATACATGCTATGAAAACAAAAGCCAAAGAATAAATAATTTTTTTTGCAAATTAAGATTTTTTTGTTTAAATATGCAAAAAAAATTGTTTATTATTATTTTGAACTTTGGTTTTCTAATTAAAATCAATTAATTATTATACGTGCGACTTGCTATTTTTGTAATAAACAGGTTTTTCTTTTTACATCAAGAATAGTGCATTTTTTAAAATTGGTCACTAGGGTTATCAAAATTTTCAATGTTTTTTGATATTTTTTATAAGATTCCATTTTTAAAATTGAAATAATTAAATCATAAATCAAATGTAATTTATTTGAACATACTTTAACTTACTAATCTTTCTAAATTAGTAAATACTCATTAATTTGCAATATGCTTTCTGATTTATTTAATAATTTAAATTTAGTAACAAGAATAAGGAAATAATTGTGAAACAATTTTTGATACCTATATTCAAGAAAAACTTCAATGAGCAAGAGTATAAAGAAATTAATTTGTTTATATTCCCCTTTTTATACTCAAAATGGGAAAAAACAGGCTTAAATTCTTGTAAAAAGAGTCATTTTTTTTTACGGTTAGTGTTGTTGATCTTCCCTCCATTTCAATCTACAACAAAAAAAAAAGACATTTTGTTGGCTATCCAGTCTTTCTTTCACATCATTAAAGACAAAAGAAAACAGAAATATGATCATAAGCTTATTTTTCTTCAGCAGTTATTAATCCTTAAATTATTCCGTGAAAATAAAAAAAAAACATCTTATTTACTTCCTTCATCGTAAAGTGTATCTTTATTTTTTTTTCTACCTTTTTTTAATCCTCCATGATGAGTCGAGCCAAATTCTGCTTGCCGACTTCACTAAAATGTCGAATGTTCATTTTAACTGGATAATACGATTCAGAAATAAGCTGGATTATACACTAAGCTGATAAATACAGGAGAAGTAAGAATACAAGGACTTAAATCAATCTTTCATTATAAAAAAAAATAAATATAGTTGGATCTGAAGACCAATGCATTTTTTATTTTAATGGAAGATCACAGACACACAAAAAAAAAAGAACATCATTCAGTCCACACACAAGTAAGCGAATTTTATATATATATATAAAAATTCGATTACACAGACAAACCCTCTATTTGTCACCGAAATATAGAAAAGCGTACAAATTATAGTTGTATAAATTCAAGAGAAAATTAATCATTTCTAGTCACTAGTGAAGAAGAAAAAAAAAAAAAAAAAAAAGAAACCATTTTGCATCTTAAACCTGCTTTATCATTTATTTTGAAGACCCCACAAACGCATAAAACATACGCACGAGAGAAGTACAGTATGTATATTTTTACATAAGACAATACATAAAAATAAGAATAACTTTAAACAAAAAAAAAAAAATGTATCAATAGAAGGGATTAGAATTTCAAAAATTCGAAAATTTAAATCGAAACCTTTTAAGTAATCATCCTGGGGTTAGCACAGACCTGTCTATCATGACGTTCTCGTCGCCCATCCATGGAATCAGGTGCTTTTCAGCTTCAATAAGCGCCGCTTTCTCATCGTAAGGGAAAAGCTTGCAGGCATAACCAAACACAAGTAATTCCTCCTGTTCCTTTTTCTTTTCGCCATCGTCAACAGCGGCTGCCGTGAGCCACGGGGTAGCCATGATGTCACCTCCAACTTGACTCTTGCTCGTAATGGCGGCTGACGGATGTGAGAAGCGAAATGGAACGTTACTATTGGCTGAGAACAGTCAAGGGGTGGCAGCTTAGTCCAAACTACTAAACAAGGTAAATAACGTACATGCAGAATTTACATTGTTGAGATAGTTATAGATATTTTAATTCAGGCTTAAAAAAAAAAAATTTTTAGAGAAGGAATAAAAACTTGCCCAAATGTAAGACAATTTTTCCAAACATTGAAACTATGAAATAAATTCTTTTAGTTTTATTATTATAAAAATTTATGAGAGAAAAAAAAAACAATTCTCTGTTCCTTACCAAGGACATTATATTACCCGATGTGTTGTTCAGATGTGATTTTTCTGATAAGCCTTGTTTCTGAGCCTGATTATGTTGATGCTGTGTCTGGCTCAGGGTAATACAAAAAGAAATCCTTGAAAAAAAAAAAAAAATGAGAAGGAACCTCATCCTCTGGAGTATTTTCCAAGAATCAGGAGAATGGAATTTGAAACCTGTAACAATTTTAAAACATAGTTTTGTGAGCCTGTCTACACAAATATAAGCAAGGCTGTTGAGTGGTTAAAACAATATTTATTCTCAATATGGCTGAGGGAATAGTCAGGACAAATGAAGAGAAGAGGACTTTAGACTTCAGGATACCACATGGCTAACAAACAACTCTGGGCAACAAACAAAATTTAATGCAGACAATTTTATACATGTGAAACAAACTCAACAGGCTTTTCTCAATAATATAGGGCAATACATTTGCTGCGATCATAATTTTACAAAGCTGTACCAGCTTTTAACAAGTTTACCGTAACAACTTTCATCTGGCACTCCTCATTCAAAACCAGAGCATTCTGCCACTATGTTGACTAATCAATCCTAAACAGGTGAAAACATTAAAAACACCTTGTGAACTTTCACCGTCTATCTCTACTAAGGACACTGTTTTTAACTTTATCAATTAAGTCCAGATTTTCTTAAGAACATTTTTCTCTACCTAGCTTAATTTTTATTAGATGCTCAAAAGAATATTTTGAGCAAGCCATTACACCCTTTTTCTTTTAACATAAATTACTGTAAATAAACAAATTCTTATTTGTTACAATTTTACACTGAGTGCCTAAAGAATTAATGAATTGATAATTTCTATTTTGTTTTCTATATGGGAAAGTCCCCATATATTTTAATGAATAGCATTTAGCGATATAAATGAAATAACCTTTTTTTTTTTAATTGTGATCTTGTTTTATCTCAATTGATAAAACCCAAGAATGATCAAAACAGAAAAAGGAAATTTCTATAACAGTGAAAAGGGCACACAGGAGCCTGCAAAGAATTTCTTGAAATGTTAAGAAAGCTTGATCTACATGGAAAAGATCTTCAAATAATACATAACATATATGGGGAAACAAGCAGCTTGGAAGCATATAGGGAATAAGATAAGCGAATACATAAAAGTAGAAAGAAGTGTATGACAAGTATATATTTTCTAATGAATCTATTTAACATGTACAGTGAGATTATTTCTAAGCGAGGTAGACATTGTTCTTTTGTAATTGCGTTGATATTTGACTGTGGCTATAAACTGTTTTCAAGTTTTGTTTTTAATCATTTCATCCCAAGCAAGGCAAAAAAGCCACTAAGATACTTAGGGTTACTGAGTGTGAGATAATATGAAAAAAAGAAAAGATTAAGGAAAAAGAGCAATAAAAAAACAAGAATTAAGAAGACAGAAGATAACAATTAATATTGCATTTAAAATTTTTTGAAGATCAAAGTAGACTGGAAAGCAAGAAGCTGGAAATGAGTTCCACAAGTGAGAAGTGTTAGAAAATAAACTGTTAGCATAGAACTAATGGTTACTTCTAACAATTTCAACTATAAATGATGAGAGCTTGCTACCAACTTAGTAGTAAATTCATAAAGTCTAGGTACCAAAGTGGAACATTCATTAGAACAATTACTACAAAAATATTTATAGAAAAGACACAGGGAAGATACATTATGGTGGTGGAAAAGTCAAGAGGACAATATGCATTGCAAGTCTTTGAAAAGTTATATCTTATCTCCTGATCAAATCTATGCAAAGATATTCACATGGTTCATGGTAAATACCTACCTACTGCATACATAATAGCTGGCCACTCGTGTTCGAGAATACCTGTCTACTAGGGTGGCTAGCCAATCCCCATTGCAGACGCTCTCTCAGGCACATTTTGTGTTTGTTCAACACCCTGTATACTGCAATTATGCTGAGCAGACCTTAGTTACAGTCTCTGGGAGAGAGCATGTTATCTAGCATGATCAACAATCTGAACAATGCCAGCACATTCAAACCCTCAGTCATGATGACTTGTGACTTCATGCTAGCACAGCTATTGTTGGCCTAAGTGTTCCGTCTACCCAATTTTGCTAACAAGGCTTGAGTCAACCCATGGTATGGTTTTCAGTCACTTTCCAAAGGTGCCACATGCTGGGATCATCCCCTCCAGACTGATAACATCAGGAAGTCTCCCTCCTGACAAATCAACCATGGTGAGATTTGAACTCAGGACTCATTGTCAGAAAGCGAACATTTTAACCACTCAGTCATGTGCCCATATATACAGTTCCTCCATGTTACTTACATAATCTGAGATCTCATTCTATAAAACCCAAGATATCAGCCATTAGAATATTTCACTGTTCATTTATTTATTTATTGCTGGGTCAATTTTAACATAAAAGACTGAACTTTAAATACACTGAATATTTACAAAAAAATTATATTGAAATAAAATAAGACATTATTACATAATCATCGCTAACACAAAGCAATCCCAGGCAGGTCAGGGATTTTTCCCTGCTATTGGTACCATAAATTTAGTACTGCCATCCATGAAGAATAAAAAGTCTTGCATAAAATAAGTAAAATAATAAAGTAACGCTCCTCGCTCTCTAAGATATCAAAAGACAAATATTGAAAGACAAAACATGATATCTTGAGGGCCTCTGGGTAATGGGGCCAACTCACAATGCTTTAGCTTGTTCATTTGTTAAACAGTTTTGATAGAACATTCTGTAGCATTTTTTTGTTTGTTGTTTTTTTAGTTAGCGTCTTTTAATTAATTCAAGGGAAATAATCATTGTGTTGGGTGGTTGTATTAACTCCCTTATCTTGATTTGATCTTGTTCGGATAGAGAGTTTTTTGCTACTTTTTTAAAATTAAAAACTAGACAAAAGTAAGTTTTAGAAAATTATTTTTAATAAGCAAAAAATAAATATTTCTTTTCGTTTTATTATTATATGTAAATAAATTTTTCCGTATCTCTTCGATTGTAGTCGTCGAGTGACGTCATCTACCATGCAGCTGGTGTCGGAAGAAATAAACAGGAGACGATAGAGGGACGTCAAGGAAGAAGGAAAAATAAGTTCAGCAGTACTGGTAGATTAAGAAAAAGTGGGAATAGAAAGCCTTGAAAAGGAGTTTTCAAAAGAGGAGGAGGAGGATTTGGGCGTGAGATAAAAATGGTTTACGAAGCCGAAATCTGTATAACGAGCAATTTGCGAAGGTCACTGGCGGAATCGTTAAGTTGCGATCGCCTCGAGAGATCGGCAAAGACTGAATTACGGAAATTGCTTCTTGATGATTATACTGAATCTTCCAACAAGTCCACAGTTGTACCCATACGATTAGTGAAAGCCGTCCACAAAGCTCTAAACCAAGGTAAATATTATTAAACAACACAGTCAAAATATCTCCAGTAATCATCACAAAAATAACGTATTTATTGAGTCGATCAATCAGTCAATTATTGACTCAGTAACAAATTCAAAACAAAATGTGTTTAAAAAAAATAAAACACGTCTTCCATCCGTAAATAATACACCACAGAACAAAAAACTATTACTCAATCAATATTGATTGACTTACTTCTGCAATTACACGTGATGAATTGAATTCACACTTTTTAGTTTTATTTATTTTTTTATACGACATCCAAAATCTTACATTTTATTTCTATTTTTCGTTGTTTATCTTTTTATATCTGAGCTTTGGCCAACAAAGTTAGTAGAAATTAAAATAAAACCTCTATCTTCAGTTATTTTAGAACATAATTCATATCATTTGTGCAAATAAAATTTAGGAGGTGTGTCTCTCGCACTCTAAATTATCCAGTTCGTCAAAATCCGCCTCTCTTTTCTGAGAGTAGGTGACTGTTATCGCTTCTGCAACTGCAGTTGTTCAAAGGCAGAAAAACGCCTATAAATTATAACAACAATATATATTATTTTGTTATTCTTGTGGTACCTAAAATATATCCCTTTTTGGTACCTAGAAGAAGCACCATTTTTAAACTTCGATGTGACTGGGTGAAAGAAAGTGCGAGTTAATCACGTGCGTTTTGTTTCCTGTAAAAACGAAATTGGATCCTTAGATAAATATAAATTTAGATGGAACACTATTACTAATAGAGTAAGTTTTATTTATTTCCTGATCACCATCATTGTAATCATGCCTAAGTTAGGCAAAGCTGAATTTAGCGTGACCACATTTTTTGCTTCTTGTCACCCCAATGACAAATGTGGAGCCAATGGTTTACCACTGACCCCAAACTCTATTAAAATCCTGGGCAAGTTCCAACTGCTATCTACTCTGGAACACCCCAACCTGTGCAAATATATTCACATGGTTCGTGGTAAACATGAACGTCTGATTGTGGTTGCAGAGCACTACAAGAGAAACCTCACACAATCAATAAAAGACAGATTGTTTTCTACAGAAACTGAACTTTTAAATTTGGCTTATGGCCTTCTGGAAGGTTTGAATTATCTGAGCGAGCGAAATATTACAGTTCGGAACCTATGCCCAGACAATATTCTTTTTGATACAGAAAACAATGTGAAAATTTCTAAATATGGCATGAACTATATGACTGAATGTGGTCAAGATGTTGCTTATCCTCTGGGCTTAGCTCGTTTTATGGCCCCAGAAGTCATTTGTTCTGGTCCAGTTGTAGTAGACGAATATAGCAATGCAGTAATTCAGCCTCATTTGGGTCCAAAAGTGGACATTTGGTCACTAGGCTTAATTCTTTTAGAAGCCTACACAGGCTGTCAGCTTTGGTCAACATTGTCCCTTCAGCAAAAAATACATAAGGTACTTAATTTTATTACCACAACCTATGAACCACTGGACATAATTTCCAAGGAAAACAATCTAGAAGATGCATTGAAAAATCTGTCTGAAGATGCCATTGATGTGTTAAAACAATGCTTAACTGTATCTCCTCAAAATCGCATGTCTGCTTCAGATTTGCTCTGTCACAAAATCTTTGCTGGTAAATGTCCTAGAAAAGCACCACACATGAACGGAGTTCAGTTATTTTTTGCCAAGACTAATTTAAAAGATTTGGAACTGCCTACAGCCAATGAATTAGCATTAATAAAAAATAATGACCATTTATTCCACCGCTTAATGGAAGAAGTTTTTTATCTATGGAGGTTAGCTGGAGGAGACCTTGAGTCTGTTCTTAAGCGAGCTGGTATGATCAAATCACGGCCACCTATAACCCTGCTGCCTTGTTTTGTCTTGGCCAGCGGGGAATGGTTTGGCCAAAAGAGGGATCAGTCAGAACTCTTGGACAACACTGTGATTGTGTTATCTCAAGAACAGCTTAGAAACAGACTGAAACATGTCGGAGAGGCTGCCTATTATCCGTTACTTGAAGATGAGAAAGAAACTTTACGAGGACTGCCTACATCCCCCAGCAGCGGTGACCTTTCCCAAACAGCAACACTTCCTCTTGTTATCCGTGAAAAAGATGTTGAGTATCAGTTTCATCGAATAATTCTCTACGAACGTCTGCTACAGGGCTATCCTTTCAAGAAGGCTCATATCTGGCGAGAGGCTAGGATAGACACTCCTCCATTATACAGAGCTCAAGTGTGGGCTGCTCTCCTCGAAGTAGAGGGAGATATAACTGCACGCTATGATTCTATAGACAAAGAGACAGCATCTCCTACTGACCGCCAAATAGAAGTTGATATACCTCGTTGCCATCAGTATCATGAACTACTTTCATCTCCAGAAGCACACCACAAATTTAAGAGGATACTTAAAGCCTGGGTTATTAGTCATCCTGAGTATGTCTATTGGCAAGGACTTGACTCACTCTGTGCACCTTTTCTTGCTCTAAACTTCAACAATGAAGCCCTGGCATTTGCCTGCCTTGATGCTTTCATACCAAAATACCTCAACAAATTTTTCTTGAAGGACAACTCACCTGTAATTCAAGAATACTTGGCTGTATTTTCACACCTCATCGCTTATCATGATCCTGTATTGAGCAACCATCTTGATAACATTGGCTTCATTCCAGATTTGTATGCTATTCCTTGGTTCCTTACTATGTATGCCCATGTATTTCCCCTTCACAAGATTGTCCATCTGTGGGACACACTTTTACTTGGCAACTCTTCTTTCCCGCTTTGCATTGGTGTGGCTATTCTTCATCAACTGCGAGATCAGCTCTTGGCTTTTGGCTTCAATGACTGTATCTTACTTTTCTCTGACATGCCAGAGATTGATATTGAAAGGTGTGTGCAGGACTCCATCAAGATATTTTGCAGCACACCAAAAAGCACCACCTTTCGACAGCATGCACGTCCTTCTAAAAGAAACTCACGGACTGATATCCGACCTAATGTGTCTTACTATTCGAGAGATTACAATGAGCAGCCTGTTAATGACCTTTCAAAAGACTCTGTCACAATAGAAGAACTAAAAGTTGACAAATGTCCTCGAATATCAGCAGAAGATTTGATTGAGTTGGGAGAACTGACAGGGCCCTCAGTTACACGAAGTCCTACGAAAAAGTCCCAAAATAGCAAACCAAAGCTCCTTGTACTAGACATCCGGTCCCCTGAAGAATTTAAGCGGGGTACAGTGCCAGGGGGTATCAACATTCCATTTCAGTCAGCATTTAATGCTGATGGGACACTTGCATCAGCACAGGTAGCACAGACACTGACCAATCATAGGCTACAAGTTAAGGTAGTCGTTGGTTCGACAGTCAAAATGATGTCAGACTTTGCCAACAATCTTGTTTCTCTTGGCTGCTTCCATGTTTGCACATTGCATCGTGGGATTGATGTTCTGAGATCCACAGGTCTCTTGACTGTGCCTCCTGCTGATATTTGAATTTGGTCTCTTCATACCCCCATCCATCCAATCTCTCTCACACACACACACACACACACACAGAAGGTGCCTAGGATATTATGATGGTTAGCAATCACATCTCATCTCCTACAGAGGAAGCCATTTATTTTAATCATGTATAATATTATCAAATGGTTATTACCAAATCCAGTCAGTCAAACATTTTATTTAAAATAAATTAAAGTTAATAATTTCAAGTCAATAAATTTCATATTTTTTTTATAAATTAACATGGAAAAGTGAAAATAAATGAAAATTTCTTTCAAATTGTAGATAAATATGAAATCTGCATATATATATATATATATATATATATATATATATATATAGACTTTATGGAAAATAAAACATTTTTTTTTTTTAAATCCGCATTACAACTAAATATGTTTCCGGTTTCTCTCGTCTTTTTAATATAAATATATATATATACACAATCTAAGAAAGATTGTATTTCACTAAAAATAGTGCTGACCAGGATAAAGATAACAGACGAGATAAGTATATATATATATATATATATATATATATATATATATATATATATATCTATCATTGATATTCAGCACTCTTCCCCCATAAATATAACAACTATATAGGCAGAGGAAACTTATTATAATTACAGATAGTACTGTTATCATAATTATTTGATCCCAAACACCTTTATTTAAAATAAAAATTATCTGCTGATGATAACAAAAGTTTCAATTATTGTTATCAAAATCTTCAAGTAAACCATATTTAAAAATTGACATCATAATAGCAGAAGCACATAAGAAATGTAAAACTTTCTCTTCATTTTTTAAAAATAATTTTTAATCAGTTCTAAGTCAAACAATAATTTTAATGCAATCAAATTTGTATTAATTAATTTATAAAGTTGAATGTTAATTGTTTCATTTTTTTTTTTTTTTTAATCTCTCTTGCTTAATGTTAACAGCCAGTTATTGGTTTAGAAAAGTTTGTCTCTAAATGATCACAATATGTGGCTTCCTCTGTTTTGCTAATGTTGCTAAATTTAATCCTCACTAGGTACCTCATGATTATAGCTTTGTTTAATAAATACCCATGATTAACCCTTTCAACATTACTGGCTCTTGTTCAGTTATCATATGACACTAGTTTTATATAAACATCTTGTAAGTAACATTTTATTAAGAAAGAAGAGATTTAATTTTTATATAAGAACCAAGAAAAGGCCAAACTTATTAACTATTATAATTTCTTAATTATAATACTTATTTTCTTTAGGATATTCTTTTTCTTTTAAAATTACTTTAAGGTAAAAAAAAGTGATTTTTTTAAAAAAAATTTTTTTATTTTTATTTATTTATTTATTTTTTTTGTAGCTGGGAAATAGATTGCTCTGTTTCATTATATAGCAATTTCAATTTGTGGCAAGAGTGCAGAATACATTTTCTAGTTATAAGTTAGCAGAGACAAAAGTATTTTCAGTATCTGTCTACATTTCTGAGATGAGGTATTATATACACTATTTATATTATTCGGACTGTTGTCCTCATCTTTGTCGCCATATTTATTACAATGTTTCGACCGTTGTACGCTCCAGCCTTCTTTGGATGGTTGGAATGTCAAACTGAACCCTTTATTTCGCTCACTGGGGTGGACTGTTCTATTTCCACGTGCCATGTTTAATGGATGTCAGTTATCAGTTATCTCCTGTTAATTTCCCTCTGAAAGTTCTCCACTGCCTTAACCTGGTATTGAACTCACACTCTTTGGGTCCTTTCACTGGATCTAACCAATGCCTTTATCCACTGTGCCATGTGTCCTCGAAGCGTTGGTTAGATCCAGTGACAGGACCCAAAGAGTGTGAGTTCAATAAAACATGGAACTAGAACAGTCTACCCCAGCAAGCCAAATAAAAGGTTCAGTTCAACATTCCAACCATCTTAAGAAGTCTGGAGCGTACGACGACTGAAACGTTATAATAAATATGGCAGAAAAGGATTTTCATTACTATTATTTAAATTGGAATGATGTTAAGCACTTTTTTCTCTTGATTCACCATATTTCCTGCCATATAATATATACGCTATAATTTAGCTAGGAATATTTGGGAAAAAAATTAACATTATTGTGTATTTTGTGTAATTGTTTTTTTTTTATATCTTAACATTAGCTAATGATTAAAAATCATTTATAACCACATATATTTCATTCTAGAATCATACCCAAACCTAACCTATTGGGATATATGTGATTAAAAAATGTGTTTTTTTTTTTTTTTTTTTTTTTTTTTAGTGCACCTCATATAGCAAGAAAAATAATAGACTTAACCCATTGATGCCCATCATAAAGTCCAGTATTAATTATAAGTTTCTAAAAGAAAACTTGGTGTTAATGATGTTTATAAAATTCTAGTATTAATTATTGGTTTCTATCTATATCCTATATCTGCAGTCATTAATGGGTTAATATTATCTGTAAATATTAATATAATTTAAACATTTTTTTAATCTAATATAGTTTTTTTCTGCAAATATAGATAAATATATTCATTCTGTAATTTTGACTCAAGCCTATAAAATTATGTAAGACTTGATATATCTTGGCTTTGTTATAATATAGCAATTTTAAATGCAAAATTAAGACTTAGATTTTCATAACATTTGAATGAAAGTTAAGAACCACCAGTTAGCAAATAAACTTTCACTTACCTGAAATATACCAAAGTTAACTTGTTTAATAAGCAGTTTGTACTTAAAATTTCCCTTAAATGTACTTAAAAACCACTTTAATCACTTTAAAACTATTTTGTAAAATTAGCTTGTAACTTTCTGTGGAATTAATTTTGACTGCATTTCATTGGATTCACTTTCTGTCATTTAATATTCAACTTTTATTCTCTTTTTAGATCTTTGCTTTTTTCTCATAGTCTTCTTTTATTCAATACTTTTATGTGCAAAAAATTTAATAGTTGCAAGAAGTAAATACATCAGTATTTAAAAAAAAGAAAACTAAGAAAAATATTAAATGACTGTCCTATTAAAATGTAATAAAAATTAAAAGAAAATTTTTAATTTATTAAAAAAAAATAATGTGGTGACAGTTCTATAAAACACAAATATTATTTAAAAAATAAAAACGTTTGCTAAAAAAAATTATGTTGTAAACAGAAAATAGTGTCCTTACTGTCAGGTTTGATTTTTCTACTGTGAACGTAATATCCCATTCATCCTATGTAAATGAAAAAAAGCTATTGCTTTCTATTTTATTTTGCTTGTATGAAATAAATAATTGGTGACAGATTTTAAACTGATTTCAATATAATAAAAACCAAAGAAAATTTTCACTTTAGTTTTCAGTTTTTAAATGAGTTTAACAGCAATATTATTTAAGAGGGTGAGAGAAAGAAAATTAGTGACTAATCCAAATAATCCCAAGCATTCAAAAAAGTAATAAATGTTTAAATTAGTATTTTCATGTTAATTTTACCTTATTTAAACAACAGGATCATGGTTTAATTGACACTTCCTTTATTACATTTTTTTTTTTTTTTTTTATCTGAACATTTTTAAATATTCAGAGAAAGAATCATCTGAATGCCTTTTTAGACAAGCACTGTACTCTTTTTTTGGACTAATTCTCTTGTCTTTTGTTCTTTGTTATGATGTTTGGGATTGTAAATTCAAGCCTTTCTTGAGTGTGCTTTATTTTTAAAAAGCTGATCCTCATCCAGTTTCAAATCTAGCAATGTTTTTTTCTTTTTTAATCAGTGGCTTCCCTATATTATTGATATTTATATTTGACCTGCAATCACACTAGATGTTTGTTAAGGAATGCATATGCTCCAACAGAACAAGGTTCAACTTTAAAAAATAAAACAGACATCCAAGGAAGGCTTGAAGGCTTTCTTCCTAATAAGAAAGCAATTAATCTGAAAAAAAAAAACAATGTTTTATATTACATTCATTGTCAAGAGAAAAATAGATTAATTAAATATTTTAAATTTTTTAAGGAAAAGGCTTTTTTAATTTCTCAGTGAGGAGACATTTAAGAAATAAGTAAGAACAAAAGCATATGTTCCATTGTTGGTAGATAATTGTACACAATTGTTTGATGTTCAAGGTAGCCTTTGTGTATCAACATAAATTAATGAGTTTGATCTTTTTTATCATATTAAAAAGGTGTTAGCAGGTGTTGAAAGGGTTATCAAATTATAGGCAGACAGTCTATTTTCTGTATATTTTAGGATATTTATACTTTATATTCTATTGGATATTACAATTTTTACAAATATTTTAATGTACTGCTGATTACTTCTTTAAATGGCTATCTTTAGGCTTGAGCTATTTTATAAGCGTGGCCACTGGTGTTGTGGGCTCTGAGTATTTAAAAGATAAGGATATGCCATAACAGCTGTTAATTTTGGCTGAACTTCTGGAGAAGTTCATGGTTGGGAGAGAAATTTACTACATTTGATAGCATCTAAAACCTATGGATGTATAGAATACCCCCATTTCAGTAGGGAACATTAAGAAAAATTGTTAGATGATACATCGAATTATACTGGAACTTCATTCATGTCCTCTAGTTGGCCCAGTTCAAAGGCAGTTTCTTTTCAAGCATGTATTAAAAATTTATGAAATTCTAACATGAGGGAAAAGTTGATTTTTGTAAGCCATCAAAGACAGTATTTTCTCAGAGAATAAAAATACTTCCCTACTTCCCCCCCCCCAACAATGTTAAACGTTTAAACCAAGAAAGATCAAGTATTAGTTGGTGAGAATATTATCAGAGAGGCGAGAAGATAGCCATTGTAGTCTTTTATCTAGTTGATTGTTACAAAGAACTTTCTAAAAGTTTTTTTTCTCTGTCTTATTTTTTTCTGTATTACCACATTTCAACTGACTCTCAGCTGTTCTTATATGGCATCTCCTTATCAAAATTTTATCACTCTTAAAAACTCTTGTCTGGCAATTCTGTCAGAGAAACACACCTGTGGATATGAGATGATT